GTGACGTGGGAACCCCGCAGAGACGCCTGAAGCCCAACAGGTCAATTCGGGAAAGCGCTACTTTCTGGGCCAGTCGATGTTGCTGCTCCGCGGGGACCCATTGACCCGCTCCGTGGCCCTTGCCCTGGATGCCCCCGCAGCATGCCCCAGTGGCCGGCTGCCACCCGCCCCACCCACCCAGTCGGCTCCTCCTGTGCCGGGTTCCTGCGTCAGGGTGAGCAGGGCAGGGGGCAAATGCCCCTTTGGAAATGGAACCCGGGAAGAGGCTGGAGGAGTGGATAAAAGAGAGGGGTATCCTTGGTGAGGGGGAGGGCAGAAGTGGGGGGCACACATCCAGGCACCTGGGGCCAGAGCAGGAGTCCCTCCACCTGCTGCTGCTGGGCTACGGAGGCTGGAGGGAGCATGCTAGTGAGTAAGGTGGGTGTGCTTGTGGGAAGGCTCCCTCACCCCCAGGGGGCGGGGTGGGTGAGGGGCGCTGCAGGAGGGTAGAAAGAGAGCCGGGAGAGGAGGGAAAGGGCTTGGGTCTCATCGACATCAGGCTGATGCGGGGTGTGCCCTCCTCCTCTGCTGCCTCCAGCTGAGGGAATCTACGTGCATCTGATGAAGTCCAAGAAAGTGCATAGTAGAACATAAATAACATTGTTTTAAAGGTGCTGCTGGACTCGGATTAAGAGGCCACCCCTCTGGAATTTAAAATAACTCCTCTGGTGTTTGCAGAGGCTCTTCGGGAACTGTGTTTCATAGCCAGAGGAAACTACAATCCCCAGAAGACCCTTGGCAACGACAACAGAAAGCCACATATCCCTGCCTAGCCGCTTCTGTGCAGGTTTTTGCAAGTGCATAGGGACAAGGGAGGGAGCTTCTATATTAGGAACCGGGTCAGAAGGGGGGTGAGAGCCCTTCTTGAGCAGTTGGATCTGCACACAGCAAACACTCTTGGCTTTCTATACAGGCAGAAATAGAGCTGAGATTACTAGAAGGAAGAGCTTCCCTGTTTTGCTGACCGAGAAGAAGCCCCATCCTTCCTTCCCTCATTCATTCCCTCTGGAAACTGGCTTCTTTCTAATGCCATTTTCCCGGGATTGGGCTCTTTGAGACGCGTGTGTGTTGGGATCTCTGGGTGAGCCAGGGTTTCACATGTCTGGAGGGAAGCATCCAAAGAGGGGAGTCTCTGGCTGGAGAGAGGCCGTTGCTGAGTGGTAGGGCATCGGCTTGACATGCAGAAAGTGGTCGGTTCAATCTCTGGCATCTCCAATTACGGATCAAGCAGTAGGTGCTGTGTGTGAGTGAGTGTGAAGTGCCTTCAAGTTACTTCCAACTTAGGACAACCCTATGAATTAATATCCTCTAAAACAGCCTATTGTTGATAGTCTTGCTAAGGTCTTGCAAACTGAGGACCATGGCTTCCTTTATTGAGTCCATCTATATTATGTTGGGTCTTTCTCTTTTCCTGCTCCCTCCAACTTTTCCTAGCAATAATTTTTCAGTTACTCTGGAAAAGCCAGCATGGTGTAGTGGTTACGAGCTTTTTTAACTGCTCACCCTCTCTCTATATGACTTATTACTATTTCCATTTCATTGTATATGAAGACGAGTGTTTGTGCACAAAAAAGCTCATACTATTTGCTGAAAATAGTTTGTTGCAGATAGTGAGCTTTAAACAAACCGTGATCTACCATTATGTCTGAATGCAGCTTTCCATTCAGCCTAACTATATGATGCACTTTCCCTGGTTCTGTTTGCTGGTGAAATAAACCACCGTACTCTGGGAGTTTCTTGATTTCAAATTTTGTGTTTTTCATTCTTCCTAAAATGCATTTATGTTTGAAAATTGGTGGGCGCATGGGGGGGGGGGGGGAGGGCCCCAAAGAGTGTGCAAAAAAACCTGGGGCCGGCCCTGGTTGCCAGTCAGGAAGTGTGTGTGTGTGTCGGTCTGAAGGAAACAGACAAGTCACTTGAGAAGTGAAGAGACACAACTCCTTGCCCTTACTGTGTACCAACACATTTGAGGAAAAGTTCAGAGATCGGAACTTAAGTCTCAGCCTTAGCTGAATTCCATTTATTCACAGTATCCAGAACTGGGGTTTAGGTTTGACAGAAGAGACTGGACAGTAGGTAGTCTAGCCAAACAGAAAAGGATTATCGCTCCTAGAAAGAAGAGAATATTTCTTACCCAGTCATTCAGAGGGTTCAACTCGGAAGGGACTCATGGTCTGTGTGAAAAGGGAAACGATCTTAGACTCCTCAAGGGGGGGGGACGTTATAATCCCATGAGGGAAGTATTTCAATACAGGAAGTACTAATGAAGATAGTTTTATGAAACTTTATTAAGACACATTGTTGCTGAAAGAAATCTCCAAGTTAAACAAATCTCTCACAGTTAAGAACTGACTCTCTAAGAATATAAGCTTCAATTATACTCTTGCCTGTTGAAAATAATATAATTTATATACACAACAAAATTTACCTCAACTTCTTGTCCCCTGCCATATTCCTAACTCAGCTGTGTCTGTTCAATAAAAGCAACCTTTCTGTATGAACTTTGTTGTTGTTCAGTCGCACAGTCGAGTCTGACTTTTCGCAACCCCATGGACTACATCAAGCCAGGTCAACCCATCTTTTGTCGTCCTCCGCAGTTTGCTCAAATTCATGTTTGTTTCATCGATAAAACTGTCTAACCATCTCATCCTTTGCCGTCCCCTTCTTCTTTTACCTTCAGTCTTTCCCAGCATCAGGGTCTTCTCTAGTGAGTGCTCCCTTCTCATTTGGTGGCCAAAGTATTTGAGCTTCAGTTTCATTATCTGGCCTTCCAGGGAACAGTCAGGGTTGAAAATTTATAAAACCATGAGCCTGGATACGAATTGTGTTGCCATGATTGGAATTCAGACTTGTACCAAGACTTGGAAAAGCACTGTCAGGCATGCCAGGATGCTTGGTCTTGGATCCATTCCCAGGATGGGAATGTTGAGGATTAGTTGACAAGATTCATATTCCTTTTCAGTATTCTGCCTAAAGTTATCTGTCTACTGGATGTTCCAAAATATATGTGCTTTCTGTGATTTATGTTTAGTTATTAAATATATATTTTGATCATAATTTATAAGTGTAAACTGATTACATATTAATCCTATCCTATCCACAGCCAGACTACTCTGTTGATGGTTTACATAGGCACTGAATAGAAGAGCTGACAGAGAGGGAGGGAGAGTAAAGAGGGGAGAGAACAGAAGCCCAGAAAACCTCAAGAACACCCTACCAAACCTCTGGTATACAAGACAGCTAGGATAAAAGCATTATGAAGAGGCAAGGGGGATTATATTTTTGCAGCACCACACTACTGGAGTAATGACCATAAATGAAAGGGAGGGTGGGAAGTGAAGAGTGAAAAGTTTTTAAAATGGCTTGACCCCTTGGTTATTGTTAACTCTCAATGCCAGGTCCCCAACTGTGATGTTTTAGTGACGTTTGTGCTGATAAAATTTCTCGTTCAAATCAACATGGAGACCAAGTTGAAAGTAGATCCAGTACCTGAGAACATGTGGTGATGGAAACTCCAGGGATTCTTGGATAACCCATATCTGCACTTGACTCATTCCAGTCTATCTTCAGACATAGGTTAGGAACTGAGACTTCTTCAGTTGCACTGGTGGACAAGCTTCATTTAAAGTTGGTAAGGGGACAGTCATCTCTGTTGAAACTTTTCACAGCCTTTGATATGGTGTTGGTGTTAAGGGAACAGCTGGTTTGTTTTTTGATAGACATAGTGTTTCCATTGTAAACCAGCACACACAAGCAATAGATAAACAGGCCTTCTGAACATAGGGGACTGCCAAAAGGCATTTAATGACCTTAGTGCACATGGGATCATATGGGGAAAGGCAGTTCACTAGATATATGGGTCCTAGGCCATGAAGGGCGTTAAAGGTAACAATCAGCACCTTGAATTGTGCCTGGAAACAAATAGGTAACCAGTGAAGCTGATGAAGCACAGGTGTAATATGACCATACTGGCTTAAATCAGTCAATAATCTAGCAGCAGCATTCTGTACCAATTTTATGAATAGTTTACAGGGCAGCCCCACGTATAGTACATTATAATAATTTAATCTTGATATTCAAGTGAAATGGATCAGTGTGGTAAGGTCAACATGATTTTATTTATTTATTTTATTGTATTGTATTTCTATCCCGCCCTTCCCGCGAATGGGCTCAGGGCATCTCACAGTTTAGGGCACAATGTGCCAAATATAAAAACATATAAAAACACATAAATGAAATACAATAGGAGGACAGTTGGCCCTTGAAGACAACCCAGAAACTTCAGTTGGTTCAGAATGTAGCAGACTGATTATCATCAGGGCTAGCCAGCGAGACCATATCTTGTCTATCTTGAAACAGCTGCCCTGGATACCAGTTTGTTTCCAAGTCATCCAAAGTGCCATTGTTACTACTCTGTGGCATGGGGTCCTTGAGGAGGTGAGGGGGGAACTATTGTAAGAAATTTTTAGAGGATACTGCAATGCTATTCTATTTTTTTCTTGGGGGGAAGGGGATATTTGGAGGTTTTGGTCAGTTACTTTTAAATTGCAGTGTTTCTAGTTATTTATAAGCTGCCTTGAGCTATGAGAAATGGTGAGATATATTTAAATAAATAACAAATATCAGCTAAAATATCATTGTCCTCCTTCCATTTTATGTCCATAACATCAATCCTGTGATGTAGATTAGGGTGAAAGACAGTAACTGGTCCAAGTCAACCCAGCAGGCTTCCATGACCCAGTTGGAATTCTGAAATGAGCATTCCATATGCCCTATCATATGCCACCTGACACTCAAACCACTACCCCACACTGGCGCTTGAATTTGATGACCTGAGCTCTGAATCACAAAGCTTTATACTGAAATGTTAGTTTTTGATGCTTAATTTTGCTGTTAATTAAAGAACTTAGTTTAATGTTCCATTTCAATCCAATCCGTAAGATTTCAAGTGCTCTACTTACATAATTAAACATAAAGTCATCCACATTCACTTCTCGAAAGTCATCCTCAAGTTCATCAGTTTTAACAGCTGCCAGGGCACTAGCTAGTTTCTTTCGCAGATGGAAACCTCTCCAAAGTGCCTAAACAAAAACGTAAAACATGTTAGATGAGACCATAGATCAAATCCAAATCCAGATTCTCTATTATCCCATTAGGAAGATAAAACATAGTAGACTTTTTTTTTTGGGGGGGGAATACCTCCATGATCTGTTTTTTGAACTTTATTTGACATTTAAAACTACAAGACAAATTAAATATCAGCACATGTCTAGAGCTCAGAATACTCAGGAGATTTGGCTCAAGTAAGGAGAATGGAATCCTAAAACTCCCTCAACTACAAACCAAGGTCAACTAATTAATTATTTGACAATTCCTTCAGGACCTACTATAAGCTTATGAGAAGAAGATATACGAAAAAGAATTAAGTGCTAACTTTCAAATTATGAAGCACAAAAATAAAAAAACACTTAAACATTTTCCACTGATTAAACCTAACAACATATGTAGCCATATCAGCAGTTAAACTTAAGCCAATCACTGTCACCTTCACAATCAACCTTGGCTCGTTTTTCAAGGAAGAATTTATTATGAGTGAGGCTTGTAATAACAAAAATGCCACATTTTTTAAAAGATTGCCCAAAATGCTGGTAGACCAACTCACACTAAAGTTAGAGTTATTATTCGAAGCAAATAAAAAAGCTAACATGAGCACTATCAGAAACTAACTACACTGCTCTTCCCAGCATTTGAACTCAGGCTTTAAACTAGTTTGAAACTCTGGTTAACAGTCATCCCTGTTTCATATGAACTTTAGTTAAGGATGGTGCCATCTTAAGCCTCAATCATGGTTGAATAGTGAAAAGGTCGAAAAGGGAAAGTGGCACTTGTACTGCACATTAGATGTTTTATAGCCTGTACTGTTTTTGTGAGTTAAGTGTTCTGACATCTATGCTATCCTCTATGGGTACTGTGCATGAGCAATATTGATTGGGGTGCCTTAAAAAAAGCTGTCAGGAAAGAAAACAGAAATAACATCAGGAGAATTAACAACGGTAAAAATGAGGCGAATGAGGACAGATTTTCATCTACTTCCACTTCCTCAGCAGCACAATCTTTTTGGTACTCACAGGTGGTCACAAGTGGCTGCTAGGAGGAGAAAGGGGAAGCATGGAAGGCCTGCCACCAAAAGAGACTTCCATTTGCACAGCAATAGGATCTAACTAACCCTTTGCTATCCAATAAAATAAATAATAAAGATCTATGTATCAGATTATAATTATGTGGTTCAGTTTTACAGAAACCTGTTGGCAGCAGAAATTACAAATAAATGTCACGATTGATTCTTTATTCACCATCACGCTGTTTCTAAACATCTCTGCAGGCATATCTGTCTTTAAGGCCAAAGTAGTGTAAGTAAGATTCTCTTTCAGTGGAAAAGAGCAAGAGTCCAGTAGCACCTTAAAGACTAACAAAATATGTGGCAGGGTATGAGCTTTCATGAGTCACTGCTCACTTCTGTATCTAAAGATAAAAATATTTTATTACACTTTTGCACTCAAAGGGGTACGTTCAGACGTGCCGTTTGATCTGGTGTCGTCACGCTTCAGCAACGGATTTTATATGCATGATCACACAGTCAACATCTGCCTCCCATCCCCAGCCGTTGGTTTCCAGCTAAAAACCGCTTTAACCTGCAGTATTTTATTACCAGGTCCCAAAGTGGTGTTTTCTCAGCTCTCCCGTTTAAAGACTCATTTTCCCCGTGTGATTGCTCCTCCAGTGTCAAGCCACTTCCAGTTTAAACCCCCTCCCTGCTCGAAAGCTGCCCAAGGCTTTTCGCCTGCCATTTTTTTAATGCGTTGGCAGTGTGCACATAGGCGGAGCTCCTCTACCGTGTTTACAAAACCGACATTTAAATGGTCACTTGTTTTAGAGTTTAGATGAGTTCGGGATCTCATGGAGACCATTTTCGGGTCAAACTTTTAAAGGGAAGTCTTTTGTTGGAGGGGGTGGATTGATTCACCCTGATGGTTCTGTGCATGTGCCATGATAGTTCACTCCATTCTACAGAGGAGAGCCTTTGCGCATGCGCAAACGGAGAATTAAACCCCCCCCCACCAACACATGCTCCTGCGCGTTGGTAGTGCACATGCAGGGGAGTGACGTGACTGCGCGGTGAGACAAGATAAGGGAGGTAAGTGTGATTGCGATTATCCAGATCAAATATAATCCGGTTAGAACTGTAGCAGTTTAACCTGCTCTCAGCACGCCATCTGACTGCACCCAAAAAGGGTCTTAAGGTGGCAAACTTCAAAACATTTCAACATTAAAACAGCATTTTCACAAAAGTCTAACACAGGAGAAGTATAGCTGAAATTAATGAAACTACATCAGTTTAAGTAGTCTGTACATCACACTCTACCAATGAACAGCTATGAACACAATTGTCTAGCATTTACATAATGAAGATCTTTTCTTCAGTAATGATTTGGTAAGACAACTTTCATTGTAGCACAATCGCAAACAACATGGATAGGCAAGTTTGTAAAGAAGGATGGGAATATTTGTAGATCCCTGCACTGAATATAAATCTAGAATAAGAAGTATGGTATTACAATTTAGTTGGCTCAAATGAAGACCAGCTAAGAAACATTCAACAGAGGACTGGATTATATTAGTCCAACAATTGAACAATTGGGTGGACAGCACAACAGGCCTACTGACCACTTCTGCATGAATCATACCAATGGTATGCTGTAGAAGAAGACATCCTTTCAGTATGCACCCATAAAGTATCCTCCAAGATATGCTTTGCTAGGAAGGTTGGTTATGTGGAGCCAACATTCCCACTTCTATAGTATTTATCAGGCTAATCGGGGGTTTAAAATGAATGTGACAGGGCAAGACACACAAGAACAATGGTTTCAGACTGACCTGAAATATAGTAGCAGCTTGATGCTTGTCCATGAAATGACGACGTTTTTTGCAACCAACAATGTTTTTTCTAACACAGTAGCTTCGCCAAGAAGACTGGATTACATTTGCTGCCATATGTAGCCTTGTATAGAAATCGATCTTTTTCCGAACTTTGTAGCCTCGCCAGTATGACTGTATAACTGTGGCTGCCAAGCTATAACTATCAGAAAAAATAACATACTGAATTCAGGAATAATATGTGCCAATGATTGAGCATGGCTTTTCTTTGAAAGTAACTATACGCATATATACAATGGATGGGGAAGCTCTGAAGATAGTTTTTAGAAATTTATTTGGGCCACCATTTTAATGTTCTACAGAGTTTAGAGAAAGACTAATAGATTAGTTTTTCAGGATTTGGTCCATTAGTCTTTCTCTAAACTCTGGCCCCGGTCACACGGGGGAAATTGACGCGGCGAAAGTGCGGCTTTTTAGAGCCGCACCAAGAGACACACGGCGGCGGGATCAGACAGATCCCCTGAGCCGCCGTGCAGTTGCTCCCCGGCATGATCAGATGCCAGGGGGGGGGAAGCCACGGAAGGGAGAGCAAGGCAGCCGGCTGCGCAGGTGTGCACATGCACAGTTCGGCCGGGAGCCTCAAATGCTCCTGAAGACGGGCGCGCCAGCAATCCCACGGCCACGCTTGCTGCGGCATTTCAGGTTAGTACTACTATTTCCGGGGGGGGGGTTATGCGCGTTTTCGGCCTGAAGGGATGGATCGGGGACGGGTGTGCCCCACTTCCCAGATGTTGCTGTGTGATCGCACCCGTTTGCTACGCTCCCGATCCGTCCCTCTTGCGGGCCAAAACCTCCCGTATGACCGGGGCCTCTGTGTAACATAAAAATGGTGGACCAAATTAAAAAAAATCACCAAAAACCTAACCTCAGAACTTCCCCATCCATTTTATATATGTGTATCGTCATTTTCAAAGATCTTGGAAGCTAAGTAGGGTTGGCCCCGGCTAGTATTTGGAAGGGAGACCTCCAAGAAATATCAGAGGTGTGACATGGAGGCAGGCAATGGCAATCCACCTCTGAATGTCTCTGGCCTTGAAAACCCTAAGGGGTAACCATAATTCAGTTGTGACTTGACACCACTTTCCACCACTATGTGTTCAGAGATATAGGCAAATGGGAACAGTATGATAACAGCTGAAGATGGTACTTCATGAATAAAAAGAAATCAGGCGCTGTAATTATTTATTCCACTTATATCCTGCCTCTCTTCTATCACAGAACTCAAGGTGGTTTCCACTGGATTCCCACCAGATGTCCATTCCAGGGGTGCTGACCAGAACCAGACCTGATCAGCTTCCATAAGATTTATACATCATATGATCTCCAGCTAAACCATTGGAATAAAGTATATAATACTAAGTATGATAAAAATAGGGACTTAATCCAGTTCATCTGCTCTGTACTCCCCCCCCCCCAAGAATACAACTCTC